CAGTTGTAAGTAACTGAATTACAATGTGTGTATGCTAGAGGAGATTATCTTTTTCATTGTTAGACGTTGTACATAACATACCGTCTTAACCTTTTAGTGCCTTTAGGTAGCCATTACTGAACTAACAAAGCTCACATCTGTATACGCGAAAGACCAAAATCGTTGGACCTCTTTAAGTTCTCAGTTTCATATATTTGTTGCCTTCATAAACAACAAGAAAACATTGTCTCTATTCTTCTGGTTTGGTGAATTTGGAAATAGTATGCAATATATATGAGTTCCGAAGAAAAACAAGTGTTACAATGGTGTCACTTACAATTAGGCCTCTTTAAAACCTAACCTTCACAAACCGTCAGTCTACACAGTGCTCAACCATAATTGCAATGCACCAAAGTTAAGTTCCTCACCAGAAAAATAACTAAAAGATTTTAGTTTCTGTTCAATATGAAAAACACGTAGGAGAGAGCTCCTTTTATCGATAAACTATAAGAGGGACGCTTTTAGTTTTTGTTCAAATGTGGGATTCCAACCAATCTTATTACTAGTTGTAAAATCCTATTCCAGGTGATTATGTTAAAACCACAATTCATGCGTATTCAATTATTTCTCTAAATTTAATGCCAAAACCCTCAATTCAGGTATAGCAAGACAAAGTGATAGTCCTTTCAAAATAATTTCAGTGGCATCGAATTTTTGGCCTCCTAGTGTAGTTTTATATATTTCATTATTTTATTTAATCTGGTGTGTACTATTATTTGAATAAACTTATAAAATTTTATAACAGGCACATTTGCTCATATACTATAGCTAATTTTAGATAATGGTCTTAAACACGAATTATAAAAGCTAGTACATAATTAAAAAATAAAAATATCCTAGTTATGTAGTTACCTCATAGGTCTTCATATTTATGCACTTCTATATCATTTTGTTTACTTTCGTTCATTTGGTCTAGTAAATTAAGGGTGTGTTTGAATCACATTATTTTATAAGAATATATTTTGGAATAGTAGATTGATGGAGAGTGTGTGGTTAAAAAGAAAAAAGAAAATTTATTGATGTGATGAAATATATTATTTTATTGAAAAATGTGTGGTTGAAAATGAATAAAAGAATGAGAATGAGAATTTTAATGTAGTTCAAAGAGGGGCTAAGTATTATTGATCCCTATCATACTTATTCTTAATTGAAATAAAATTGAATTCATCATGTTCTATGACACCTAAACGAAAGAGGATGAAGAATTATCTACTTTTTGAAAAGGAATTAAAATACTAGATTTGATTTCTACTTTTTGTTTTTTGTTTATCCTAGGGATGCCTCATGACTGCTTCACCAGCTACCACCCAGAGAAAGAGAACCAATAAAACTCATGGAATAGAATGACTCCTAACTAGCTAGGTAAAGTTGGGATTTCAGAGATTGAGATTTTCGTTATTTAATTTATTTATTAATGTATATTTTGATTCTGTCCATTGAAGAAATACAATTGTTGTTTTATTTTATTTAAATAATTATTTATGCATATTATTTTGTGAGCAAGCAATTAAGTGTACATTGATCACAATTATTATTGGAAATTGAGCAATTAAGCCACTAGGTTCATATAGATTTAATTTGTAATATGATCAAAACTAATTGTTTGTGGTTAGTAAATAAAGCTGAATACTTTATTTTGATAAGATCATTTGATCTCTATTAAAGTATATTATTACTTCAATAGTAAGGATAACATACCTTAAAAATGCATTGGACACAACCAAGAAATATCATTTGTTTTTAAATGGACCCAAGTCGACTCGGAGAAGGTAAATGTTCGATGATCCAAGGTTTAACTGAGTTTGAATCATGGTTGAATTGGTAGTACAACTAAATAAATACACAATAATTTACAATTTATTGTTATAATTAGGACTTCTTAGCAAATAGTTTTGTTCTAATAATTAGGATTTGTTACTAAATAATTTATTGTAATTATTAGGACTTGTTTGTAAATAGCTATTGAACCACAAAACAATTCTCTCGAAAAGACACCACATTTTCCAGCCACACTCTCTCCCTTCAACAAAAAATTATTTGCAGATCTGAACTGAAGTACCTGCGACCGCTTGTTTGGCATAGTTTAAAAAATTGTTAAAATAACCATTAATTTAACTACACATATTTTGAGGTCCACAATTTTTATCAATTTTTTAATCACATATTTAATTAATTTTTATTTAAATCTGCTCAAATTTTATTAAAAGTTTACAACCCATGATTATTCACTAGAAGTATGATTATGGTCTTCTAACTGAAGAAGATTCTATCTGAAATAATGAAGAAATGACCTTTGGACTTCCTTATCAGAGCAGGACGGCTTCTGCTATTCCGATAAACAATAGAACACCTGCAAAAAGAGGTTGGGACTTCCTGTCCCGTTGTACCTCTGGAGTGAGAATTAATGATAGAATTTTGAATGTAAACACTTAAGAAAAATGAGAGGAAGTCAAAAAATGTATTGTGAGAACGATTCCCTTACTTGACACGTTTTTTGAATTATTTATAGGCATTCAGTACCATGTAACTGCTAAGTGATTTTTTGTCAACGTGTCCACCGTCCCCTCACCAAACGATTTTTACCCATGTAGTTAGTAGTGAACCTCCACCAATTTTTGAAAGTGACCCGTGATAACCGCCAAGAGGTTTTCAATCAATTAAAAGGATGTTCAGACAATTGTTAGGTATAATTGTCGATCTTCCATAGCAGTAGACGGGCTAGAATAGCGTTAGACGGGCTAACATAGAGGTAGACGAGCTAACATAGTGATAAACTAGCTAGTATAGCAGTAGACGGACTAGCATAGCGCTAGCCGATTAATAACCTTCGTTTGCTCAACCATTGCATCAACTATACATACCACTTATCATCACTAGCCCCTCATATCGATAGTTACTGTTAAGAAGTAGCAGCTCCAATTGATTTTCTACGTGACTTCTCCATTCTTGTTTTTCTTCAAATTTCTTTTGCTTTTAGTTCCATTCCATATAAATATATAGAGTGATAAAATCATTTTCCTCTTAGCCTAGAGATCTTGAAATCATCTTCTACACATCAAAAAAGGGCAAGATTGAAAATAAGAGAGGGGAGGATTCAACCGACCCATTCAAGAATAGGTCGATCTACGACACGTCTGGTCGATCGACCAACGGGTCGACCAGTCCTGCTGGTCAATCTGCTAGTCGATCAACCAGCATGTTTGCTGGTTGATCAACCAGCCCTTGATCGTTAACCAATTTTGGGAGTTTTCCATACACTGACCAAAGTAATATTCACCCATTTTCATGATTGACCACAAAAATGTTTGACCATTTCAAGAGTGGTCAACTTGCTTTTGGCAGTAGACCACTCTTATTGTCAAATTATTACATTCTAGGTGATCACTAGTGTGGTTAATTTTCTAAGTGGTAGTTAACTTCTCTTGAAGTGAAATTACTATTTGGTAGTCGACCACTCTCGACCGAATTGATTCGTGGCTATCGACCCCTCTTAGGTCAAGCAGCATCCTGGAAGCCAACCACATTGTGGTCGATCATATAAGCGATTGAATGATTGCTTTGCTATTTTATTGTTTATTAACTTTAACATTGTGTGATTTCAATCTTACTACTCGATTTTGTTTTCGATTTTAAAGTGGCATACCCTACATCAACTATATTGCCAATCGACTATACTCAAATGCATTAATTTTATAGATCACCACCATTGCTTTCTACTTAGTAGTTCGCGTAGTTTCAAGTTTATGTATTAAGTTTAGTTCTACAGTCTCGATTGGTGATTCTTGAGCTATATCCAATTTCTTTATTTTCTTGCTCACCGCTTAGGCCCTCGGGTGATTTGTTGTGTTGAGCTTGTGATCTAGTGATATTGAGCATTAACTGTTTTGTTGGTTTTGAAAGGTCACCACTAAGACCGTGGAGCAATTTTGAACTTATAACAATTTTTTTGGTTTCTTGCTCACAATTTAGCCCCTCTGGGGATTTTGATGTGTTGAGCGTCTATCGTTTGACTTTGAGCTTTAACTAATTTTTTTTATTTTAAATGTTAATAATTAATACCGAAGAGGGATTTTGAGTTTATAACTAATTTTTTGATTTTCTCGCACACTGCCTACCCTCTCAGACGATTTGTTGTGCTCAGTATGTGGCTTAGAGATTTTGAGCATTAACCGATTTTTCAGTTTTGAAAGTTCACCACTAAGATTTAAGTTTATAACCAATTTCTTTTTTTTTTTGCTTACCGTTTACCCCTCCGGCAATTTGTTCGTCCTGAGTGTATGGTCTAGCGATTTTGAGCCTTAACTAATTTTTTTTGTTACAAAAACTCACTACTAAGACCGTAGAGTGATTTTGAGCTTATAACCAATTTTTTGGTTTTCTTGCTCACCTCCTAGCCCCTTGGACAATTTGTCATGTTGAAAGCCTGCATAGCTTTGACCAATTTTTATTTTGAAAGTTCACCATTAAGACCATAGAATGATTTTGAGCTTATAACCAATTTTTTTTATTTTCTTGCTCACTGCCTCTCAGATGATTTTGATGTGTGCAAGAAGTTTTGAGCCACGTGTCGTACAAAAAATCTCAACGGTTGTAGATCAAGTCCATGTGTTAAGATAAAGATTATTAAGATTTAGGGACTCAATAGGTACTCCAGGACGTCCCAGTAAGGCGACACTTACTTAGCACCCTCATCTTCCATCGTCGTCTAAACTTTTCATTGAAAATTCTAATAGTTACAAGAGGCTAGAACTATCAATCGTCGTTACATTTGGGAAATCAATAAACTTCCTAGCAATTATATTAACAGAGAAAATAGAAAGACGACCTAACTAACCGGGTTTTTTAATTTTGAAAACTGACCACTAGGATGCTTTTTTTTAAAAATATTTTAATTGAAAAACCTCACTTGTGGCTAAAGAAGACCGTGGTTATACAAGACAATTCATCAAGACAAAACCACGTCACCGTCTAAGATAAGGTAACTTCCACCGATCTGTACGCAAAATCCCTCTAAGAGTAGTTGGAACCTCATCGCCATAAAGGAAGTCAATAGAAGATCCATCGCTCGCCATTTTTGCCAGAAAATCAGCAGCCATATTGGCCTCTCTAAACACAAGTTGAACCTGAGCATTAAGTAGTTGAATCAGTTTCATAATATCTTCCCAATATTCCCAAAGCCACCATAAGGAACAAGCACCTTTTTTTACCCATTGGGCCAAGACCTTAGAGTCTCTTTCAACAACAATACCTCATACTCCAAGGTCCCTGCACATACACAATCCATCAAGAAGAGCACGAGTTTCAGCTACCATATTCGTACAAGGACTATAGTGGTGAGAAAAACCAGCCAAAAATGTTCCGTTTGAGTCGCGTAGAACTCCTCCTCCACCGACTAATCCCGGGTTTCCTTTAGATGCGCCATCAACATTAAGTTTATACTCTTTCTCCAATGGCTTTTTCCAACTGATCATTTGCACTTTTGACTGCTTAACATCAATAATAGGATAGTTTAGGGACTTCAAGCAATGAACTTCGCGAGCTGAGATTTTAATGACCCTAGTAATCAGACTAACAACTTGGGATAAAAAGGCTTTGATAACCCAAACAATTTTCTGCCATACAGTAGGTAGTCCTTTCATATGAGCATCACATCTACATTTCCAGAGCGCCCATGTGATAATAAGTGGTGTAATACCCCGAAGAATTCCCAACTATGAGGAGCTAGAATCCTGTGTCCACCATAAAATCATTCTGTTTCTCCAAGACGAGACATATGGAAGAGAGATTAAAGTGAAGTTCAAAGTAAGACCAAACCTGTTTAGCCACCTCCCCAAAACACAATACACAATCAACAGTTTCCACCGAAGGGTTCACACAGCATTCGCATTTAGAAACCAAAGGAATACCAATAGATTGGACCACATCATTAATTGGTAAGCGGTTCAATTGAGCTCTCCAAGATATGAACAAAATTCTTTTTGGGACTCTCTTATGCCACAACCAACGTCTCCATGCACAAGCCATAACCTTCTTACGAATCACTTCCTAAGCAGATTTGGTCGAGAATAAACCATTTTTACTGGGCTTCTAGATATAGTGGTCACTCCCATCACGTAATTTTATATGTACACATTCAATAAAGGAAGCTTGGTTTTCACCTACTAACTCCCCTAGTTGACTTCTATTCCAGCTCCCATTCATTGTAAATAGATCTTTGACTTGTAATTGTGGTTCATTCACTTCAAAACCGTAGACTTTGGGCCCCTAGCCAATTATCATACCAGAAATTTGATGAGTCATCTCGAGCTCAGCAAAAAGAATTTGTGAAGACAATAGGCAATGCCAAAACAATCCCTTTCCAAAAGAGAGATTGTGTGGAGGATGCTTTCATCAAAGTAACAACTTCGTTTTTCATATATATCGATCTAAAATTTTTTGCCCAAAGGATCCGCCTTCCAACATTTTCCATGCAAACTTCATAAATAATTCTTGTTGTACTTGACTAAAATCCCGAATGCCCAAACCTCCCTCCTTTACAGGATAACAATTTTTTCTCCATGAAACCCATTTTCGCCTCCTAGCACCATCATTTGTGTTCCAGAGAAAAGATGAGAAAATACTGCTCATTTCATTATGAATACCCTTAGGCAATTTCAATACTAAAAGAACATGAATAGGTATGCTATAAAGAACACGCTTAATCAAAGTAATGTTTCCCCCGAAGGAAAGTAGACGACCTTTCCAACCAGCCAGTTTCTTTTGAATTTTATCCATCAGCGGTTCAAACATATGTTTCGTTAATCTTCCAGTATAGAGAGGTATTCCCAAATAGGTAAAGGTCCAAACACCTTCCTTAAAACCCGATGAGGCCAACAGTTTTCTCTTGTGTGCAACTGAGATATGCTTAGAAAAAACATAGAGGATTTTTCTAGACTCACCATCTGGACAAACCTTACCTTAAAACTTTTAACAATTGCAAGAATTTTGTCAATCGACTTTTTATTGCCATTTACGAAAATAAGTAAATCATCAGCATAAAATAAATGACTCACCCCCATTCATCCAGAGTGAAAAGACTGAATTTAATTTCTTTCAAAGGCCTGATTGATCATTCTTGATAAGAGTTCATGTGCCAGAATAAACAAATATGGGGACAGTGGATCCCCTGGCGTAATCCTCTAGATGGTTTAAAGAAACCTCATGTCTTCCCATTAAGCATAATCGAATACGCTGGAGAGGAGATGCAATTATATACAAGGTTTATCCACTGATCAGAGGATCCCAATTTTCTTAGAGTCGCAAGAAGGTATCCCCAATTTACTCTATCATACGCTTTGGCCATATCGATCTTCATTAAAATGTCACCCCCTTCACCTTCTTATTAAGTCTATGTACCAACTCTTGGGCAATGGATATGTTATCAAAAATACTTCTTCCCTGAATAAAAGTAAATTGTTCCCGGGAAATCAGTGTATCAAGCAAAGATGCCATCCTAGCCACCATAATTTTGGATAACGTCTTGTACACCACAGAACAAAGACTGATCGGCCTGAATTTCGTAAAACTATTAGGGGACTCTACCTTTGGAATCAGAACAATATTTGTTACGCCCAACGTATTATCTAAAGAGAATCCCCCAAAAAATTCTATAACCACTGCAAGGAGGTTAGCTTTAACAATATCCTAAGCATTAATAAAGAAACTTGCACTAAAGCCATTAGGTCCAGTACTGCTATCTTTAGGGATAGACCAAAGAGCATCTTTGACCTCTTCCAATATTGGCGGCTTGCACAAGGAAAAATTTTCCTCCACTATGATGACCGGTATCAGAAGTTCAAGATCATTATCCTCCATGGCAATAGGTGTAACTGACAATAGATCCTTGAAAAACTGTAATGTACCCTCATGAATATCTTCAGCTGACTTTAACACTGTACCATCTGCCAAAATCATGTGGTCAATAGTTTGGCTCTTTTTTTTTTATTCTTAACAAATGCATGAAAAAATTTAGTGTTTCCATAACCCTCTTGAAGCCATTTAATACGTGATTTTTGCCTCCATAAAACTTTCTCCCTTTCGAGCCAAACCGCATATTGAATTTTACATTGCAATAGCTACTTTTTATTTTTCGATGAGAAACTATCAATCAAAAAGTTCTCCAGGTGATTCAGTTTGTCTT